TATTCAGAAAGGATTTACAGCCTTGGTAATCCCCTGGGGCAGTTCTACTCTGTTACAGCATCTCTATTAGCAGAAATCAACCCAACAGTAACCAACAGTGTATATCAGGCTCATATACTAGTTTAATCTCCACAAAAAATGCTGTGTAAAAGGGGTTTATGAATTCCTATTTGACCGAGTGAATGTAAAGATAGAGGAATTAATATCATTTTGTACATATAGCAGTGTTGCTCTACCTTTTAAAGCAAAGGTTGGAAGAGGAGCAGGAAGAATGCAGACGTTTGATGTGGCTGGGTAATGCAAAAGGTTAATCACTCAGCTGCTATCCAGAAGGCTGGCATTTTGGATCCACTCACAGGAGCCTTGGAAGAAATGCCTGGAGGTTTACTACTGACAGGTCGGCCACTGAAGCCTTTGTGGAGCATAGCTCGGCTCTGGCACACGGGATTGTATAGAGCTTTGCACAGACAGCAGTGCCTGGCACAAGGTTTCTTTGCAGAAAAGGCTCCTTGCTAATTTGCCTCTGCTCAAGCATCTACCCTCTTTGAGTTGTGGCAGGAGCTTCTTTATTTCAAGGTACTTCTTCAAAGACCGTTCCTTCACCACCATAGGGGGAAGGAGAGTGGGTAGAAGTAGAAGGTGATTCAAGATCAGTTGAGCCTGGAAGCCTGAGGTCTTAAAAGGCCGAACTCCATGGAGCTAAGGCTACTTTCCTCTAGTACGTTATTGGAATAACCCTAGTCTTTCAAATGACTGCTATCCTTTATACCTGCAAAGTTTCATTTCTTTTTATTATAACGCAAACTCAACTCTTTACCTTTGGGTTGGATCAACTCATAGCTGACATTTCAGTGGGTTTTCAGAGGCTATAAATCACACAAAAGGAGAGTGACCATTTTTATCCCTCAGAGCAGCAGATTTGAACCACTTGCCTTTGGATTGGCAGTGCAACTCCTTATCCACTAGGCCATGCTAGCCAATTATACTGTGGAGAAAAGAATACATGCACCTCAAACTATGATTTTTTTTTAATTAAAAGAGTTTAAAGCAGAGATAATTTAAAAAAAATTACAGAAATTATTATTATGTTATTGGCTTGAGTGCTATTTCATCCTCATAAATGACAATTATTGGGCAGGTCTGGATCAACAATTACTGTACCGCAGGGCCTCTCAAAAAACTGGCCATGCATTCCTCTTTGGTGACTAGTGGGAAGCATTTGGGATATAAAAAGAAAAATCTCTGTCGGTCTCTGATGAAAAAGGCAGAATCTCATTATCTTGCCTTTCGGAAAATACAGAATACCTATTCACTGTGCTCCTTAAATGCCTATGCGTGTGTTGTCTTTAGCCTAAGGATAACACTTGGACCTCCTTGAATCCCAATCATGAAAGGAAATGTCACCCGGCATTGAGGGGCTGCACAGGGACCCCTATTTTCCACACCTCTCCTCATGCTCCACCAATCCATAGCTCACCAGCTGTCCTCAAGTTAACCCCAGCTCAGGGTAATCCTGTGTGCCAGAGCCGAACTATGCTCCACGAAGGTTTCAGTGGCTGACTTTTCAGTAGTAAACTTCCAGGCCTTTCTTCCAAGGCTCCTGTGAATGGATCCAAAATGCCAGCTTTCTGGTTTGCAGCTGAGTGATCAACCTTTTGCATTACCCAGCCACGTCAAGCATCTGCTTTCTTCCTACTTCTCTTCCAACCTCTGATCTAAAAGGCAGAGTAACTCCATCCATGGCCACGAGGGGGCGCTTCTGTCAGCAGGCCTGGGGACTTTATTTGGCTTGGTTTGAAGAGGGCGTCCCCCTCCCCTACTTTCCTTTTGTGGGTCTATCTCATATTCTTCTTTAGCACTTGTCACCTTTTATTACCTTTTGTTGCAGGCCTGTATTGTTATTTTAACTTTATGTGGCCAAGAGAGCCTTTCTGGAATGATTTTAGACTCAGACACCCGCATCAGAGAGAGAGCTGTCCTCTCAGCCATAGGTCAGGGAGGTACAGATACCGACGTGAATTCTGGGCTTGTAATCAAAATATGCAGAAAAAAGCACTCTGCCCTTTGAAAGTTGCAAAGTAAACAAAACTGCAGCCTGGGAAGCAAATGTCCTTCTGATTATTTAAACTGGAGTTCTAAAGAGGACCGGCTAGTGAGTGGTTCCAACAACTTCAATGAGGAAATCTCAGGCAAATACACAGAAAAACACATAAAAAGTAATGTCAAAGTAGCCCTCCAACATCAGACTCTTATTAATATACTCACATCCTGGGGAGTGTTTGTTCCAGACCCTTGGCGATTATCATCTGCAAAGTGTGTTGGCTGGCGCTCTGAACAGTTTTCACCAATTACTAAGAAACTATACTCATGTCCCTGTAAGTGCTTGCTTCTCTTCCACATCATCAACACAGAACACTTAATGCAGCTCCAAGAATGCACACTCCAACCTCCGCAGGAAGAGAAGATTTCATCTTCTTTCCAAGTCATGTCACCATTCTTTATTTTCCTCTCTGGTTCTTTGTGAGCTCCATTTCCATCACAGTGTCTCTTAACACCTTTCTACACAAAGAATGCTTCACAAACCAGCGGCCTTGATACCACCCTTGAGCTTGTTGAAAATGCAGATTCCACACCCCTTGTCTGGCCAGTTGAATCTGACTCACAGAGATCCTACAGAAAGGTCCAGAAGGTTTCCAAAGCTGAGATCGGCTACAGGAAGAGGCGGCTTCATCCTCTTCCCAAGGGGCAGCTGGTGGATTCAAACTGTTGACGTTTGATTTACAGATGAGTGCTTAATCTGAGGTACCGGGTGACCTGTTACCACCACTCCTAGACCTCCTGAATCAGACTCTGCAATTTATAAACTCTCCCCTGCCCTGTGATTCATACCACAGTGTGAGAACACTGCTCCAAAAACCAACATGAATTTTACATAAAAAAAAACCTTAAAACTTTTTTTTTCCATAGAAAACTTACATACATTAGGACGCATTTACCACTGCTATACTAAGTGTCAGGATGCTTCGGGGTGTGCCAGGCCCTGCCAGAAGGCCTGAAGGGCTAGGCCCTGCTGTAAGACCTGTAGGGCTAGACCCTGCTGTAAGACCTGAAGTGCTAGGCCCTGCCATAAGGCCTGAAGTGCTAGGCTCTGCCGTAAGGACCTGAAGAGCTCCTGATTCTCTACGGCATCACAGGATGTGGGCACCATCCTCCTCATTCAAAACAAGAACACAACAATTTCTCTAGTGCCATATAGTTAGTAAGTGGATTTGAACAAAGGCACTCTGACTTCCGAGGGCATGTGTTAAATCACTGCATTACACTGTTCCCCAGCAGTACTCTCTGGCAGGAAATATATGTTGATTTGGGACCAGAATGAAAAAGCTAGGCTACTTTGCGGTCCTCCAGCTCAGACTAGGCAACATTGAGAAGAAGAGACTGAAGAATCCAAGTCCTAATTGAACACTGAGAACACTGGGACTCAGAGAGAGGGAGGTGCAATCAATGGCCTTCCCAGAAGGAGTGGAACACTGTAGGCCAGAAGACGCTGCACTTCCCATCTCATCCCTGCCTCTTCCCCGAGGCACCCCAGTTCTTCTGGGCTTTGTTCTTCCCAGACACCTCACACACCTCTGATATCAGATCAACAGCTACTTGATTTCTTCACGTTGACTCAAATATAAGAATTGCCATCCTGCATAGGGATAAGTTATTATCGAGCCTATTTAACACCTCTTCATCCAATGCAAAGGTTCATGGTTCCAATCCACCTGCTGATCTGCAGGGAGGAAATGGGCAATCTCCTTCTGTGCAATTTATTCCCTCTAAAAACCTCATGGACGTTAAATTAAGGGTCAGTTCTGACTCAATATATACAACAATAAAAAACCGACAACATATTTCTTAAAAAAGGAAGGGAGATAAAAGCAGAGAGGAAAGGTAGGCACTTACTTATAAATTATTTGCAGATACTACAATAGCCATAATACCAAGCCTTGTAGCAATTTTTATTCCAAGTATAAAAGGAACTTTCTGTTTTTATGGCCAGAGAGTTCTTTGATGAGACATGGTCCTGAGATCTATTATTAATGAAGATAGATTCTTAGCCTGCACTCCAAAGAATCATTTACCTACTAAAGTCTCAGATTCACTAATGTATTTATAGATGAAAGGGCAGTGAAAGTCTAACTGCAAATTTTCTGTACTATGGAATTTGTTCCATCTCCTCCAAGACACCTATTTTTAACCAAATGGACCCTTCTGTCAATGTTTAGCATCCCACAAGGATCTTCAAGTCCAGAATGTTTGCAGAATGCAGGGCGGGAGTTCCTGGAACGGACTTCAGACGCCCAAGGAGGCTGAAAACGCTTCCTGTTTAAAGTACAACTTGGGCTATAAAAGGCACTAAACAACTCTGATTTGGAAGCCTGCCCCATCTGGTGGGAGGCAAGATAAACTACGCTGTTCCCTAAATGGTGCTCTCACAACAACAATCACTTTTTGACTGGACAAACAATGCCCTTTCCGTAACCTCCACTTCAGAGGTAAATAAAGAACTTCTGACTCAGAACTAAGGAAGACCATGGTGCCCATTCTGAAACACATGGTATAAACATAAGTCACTCAATATATGTAATGCCCAAGGGAGATATGGTTACTTCCAAAGATAAAAAATAAAAGTCACACTTAGGTCTGACCAAGCTGCCATCTTAGAATGCTTCTCCCAGGGCCGAGATGAGGGCTGAAGAGGAAGGAGCAGGCTATCCCTTGGCAAACAAGGCAGTCAGCAGCCACAGATCAAACACCAGCAGAATTCCCAATGGAATCGGGTACCACAGGAAGGAAGTGGGAAGAGTGCTGGGGATACACAGTGAGAAGTTCTAGCAACACCATGAAACAAAATGAAGGGAAAACCAACTTGCTCTGTACACTTCCACTCAAATCATAATGAAACGTTATAAAAAATAATTCTTCCAGATACCCTGGTCCAGGGCACTTACCTTGCACTGCCCAGACACACAGATGGCTGTGCCGTTCAGGTCACACGGAGTGCCATCAATGACCTTCTCAGCTTGTCGCACGTAGAAGCGGTAGCCCATTGCTTGGCAGTTCAACTCACACTTTCGATTGCCCTTCACTAGGGAAACAAACAAACAAACAAACAAACAAACAAAGATGAGGTATAAACGCTATCACCTCATAGCTACAATCAGCAGATTCCTCTACAGATTTTACTGAGATAAAATTCACCTAATTTAGAATTAAATTCTTTGGCCATTTCCTAAAATGTACGTTTCTCTTTTTTTATTGTGATAAATATGCATGCAACAAAACACTTGCCCTTTTAACATTCTTTGACGTACAATTCGGTAACATTAATTACACTCACCATGTTCAACTATCACCATTTCCTGCTTCCAAATAATACAAGCTCGGCACCACCACAATTAAAGGTGAGAATTATCCTTGGCATGATATATTTCCAGAACCTAAGAGAGAGCTGGGCCAAGCACACACTGATATTTTTTAAAACTGCAGGTCGAATGCATATACAGCATATACATGCATATACAGCCATACACACTGTGTTTTGGGGCTCTGACTTTGTCTGAAAAATATGCTTGCTGAATTGGGTAACACTGACTTTTTCCTACACAGCATAGTATATCATATTTTCCCCAGTGTGGCTGCCTGACTGCTGTAGCAGCAAACCTTTTCTATTCCAAAGCCAGAGAAAACTGCCAACAGGAAATAGCAGAGAACCTCTGGGACTGCGAGGTTCAGGGAAGACAGAGCGATCTGTGTACAGACTCCAGCTTTACCTTGGAAGTCAAGAGATCTGATTTCTTGCCCTGGCTGCCCAAGAGATAAAAGAGGTGATCTTGGAAAAATCAATGAATATGAAAGATGGTAGCACCTGGGAATTATCAAGTCATCACTTCAATGACAAAAAAGTGCAATGAGACAACAGAAGGAAGTGACAAGGTAGTGGCAAAAGTAATCCTTGACGATAAGCTTTCTCTTTCCATCTATCAAGACCTGGCTCTCTCACTGCTGAGATCTGAGCTATGTGAAACAACACTGGGGACTGTCCAGGTACATGGTACTTTAAGCAGCTCACTGTCTTACCCACTCTTACTCAGGGCAAGGGTTTGGGGTTTTCACGTCTCTAGGCGTCCTCCACAAACCCAGGTGACTCAGCAGTTAACCACTTGGCTGCTAATTAAAAGGTCAGCAGTTTAAACCCACTGGCTGCACTTTTGGAGAAAGAGGTGGCAGTCTGCTCGCTTAAAGTTTCTTCAATCTTGGAAACACTATGGACAGCTGTATTCCACGGTTTTGGAATTGACTTGAAGGCAAAGAGTTTTTGGTGGGCTTCCTCAAAACGATTTCTATCCCTTTTGGATGGTTAAAATTTTATTTCTTAGTATTTGCAACCATAACCATAGAAGACTATTCTGAGAATAAACACATGGCTGAACAGAAGGCAATCGGGATAGGAAAGAACCACCAAATAGCAACATGACAATAACCCAGAAGAATAAGGTCAAGTCTAGGATAGTGGTCTACACCAGTCCCTAGTCTGTGTGATTTAGATGTGCTCCTGCCTTTTCAGATGTGTTACAAGGAAAGGGGGAGATCTTAGTAGACAACTGGAACTTGAGGGTAACTGAATCCCTAACGAAGTTTCCTACAATCCGCTAGTCCTTCTTGTAAAGTCAGATGAGGACTTTGCTGTTGCTGCTACTGTTCATTGTGACAACTGACTTATACCTGACTCTTAACAGGTGTTCAAAGGTTGTAAATCACAGAGGAGGACACTGCCCAGTTTTCTTACACAGAGCCGCTGGTGGATTCGAACCACCTGTCTTTGGTTTGGGAGTGCATCTCCTTACCCGTTAGGCTACCAGAACTCCCTTAACAACCTTTATAGAACCTGCTTACATTTTCATGTTGCTTATTCACTTTTACACTCTGTGTAAAAATACATTTGAAAAGCTCCGGGTTAAGGTTTTTTTCATGAATAGTCACTTCATTCCGGGTTGGCTTTTTTTTTTTTAAAAAAAGCTTTGATTAAAATAACAATTCTGATAGTAGAAGATAAGTCTTTAAACAAATCCTGTAATGGTTTCATTAGTATAAAAAAAAAGAGGGCAAAGGCCAGCGGTGAGCTTAAGGAATGGAGTAGGGGCTGTGGGTACAAACTTCGTCTCCTGTTTATCTTCTTGTTTTACTCCCTCTCCGCTCTCATGCACATCTCCTCTACACTGAAGGAAATGCTTCTCAAAATGTGGTCACTGGACCAGCAGAATCAGCATCACCTGGGAACCTGCTGAAACTGCAAATTCTTGGATCTCCTCCCAGACCTTCTGAACCAGAAACACTCAGGCTGGAGTCTAGTAACCTATATTTTGAGTCTAGTAACCTATAGTTTGACAAACTTTCCAAGTGATTCAGGTAACACACCCAATTTTGAGGATCATTTCTCTTAAAAAAAAAAACAAACAAGCAAGACTTGCAGAAGCCGACTGATTTTTCTTGCTTTGAATCAACAATAGTAAAAACTCATATCTAAATGTAAAGGGTAATACTGCATTCTTGCTGTTTGCTGTCAAGTCAATCCCAACTATATAGTCCCTCTGTATGACAGAGAGGAACTGCTCTCAAAAGGTTCCTGAGACTTTAATCCTGATGGGAGCATATCACGAGGCTTTTTCTCCAGCAGAGAAAGGCAGCAGTCTGAATCCACAAGCCATACCATATAAGAAAGATGCCTATTTCCATACAGATTTATGGTCTTGGAAGCTCTATGGGACAGTTATATTGTCCTAGAGGGTCACTGTGAGTTAGAAATTATTTTATTGCAATGAGTTTTGGCTTTTCCAAATGTGATGGAAAAGCACCCACAAAGCTCAACAAAATCCAAGTAGGATAAACTAAAAAGGATTCTTACCAAGGCACATAGTCAACAAACTGCTGACAGCCAAAGACAAAGGAAGAACCTTAAAGCAGCCAGAAAAAGAGCATGTGGCAAGATAGGAACTCTCATACATGTTAGTGGGATTATAAATAATACAACCACCCTGGAAGGCAATTTAGTGTTTCCTCAAAAAGTTGAGTATAGAAACACAGTATGACCCAGCTATTCTATTACCAGGAATATACCCCAAAGAAATTAGAACTGAGACACAAATGGAGATTTGTACAATGTTCATAGCAGCATTATTCACCATTGCAAGATCGTGGAAACAGCCCAAATGTCCAAACACAACTGAATGGATTGAGAAATTGTGTTACATTCACACAATGGAATACTATGCAGCACTCAGAAGCAATGATTTAAAAAAAAATAATACATAACTTGGGAGAGGGTGAAGAGCATTTTTGTTGAGTGAACTAATTCAGTCTCATAAGGACAAATACTACATAAAACCGTTATTGTAAAAAGAGAAGGATAACTAGTAAAACATGTATGGGACCCAAGGGGATAGGAGTGGGAACAAAGAGATGAGGATGGGTAGGGGTGAAATCACAGGGTTGCACAATTTGATGGGTGGAGGGAGGGGGTAAAGGAAATGGAAAAGATCCAGCAGGGACCTGAAAAGACAAGGTATTAATGGGCATAATAATCCAATGGTGATTAATTTTATAAAACATAATCCAGGGGAATGACTGTATAAAACAATGTGAATTAACAACAGTGTGAAACACAAAGTATATGAACTTTGTAAGCAAACGAATATAAAATTAATTAAAAAAAAATAAAGCAGCCAGAAAAAGTGACACATCACATACAAGAGATCCTCAAAAAGGGTCATATCTGATTTCTCACCAGAAATCATGGTGGACAACAGTTAATGGGATGAAATATTTAAGTGCTTATAGGAAGGGGCCATCAGCCAAATATTTTATATCTTACAAAACAATCATTTGAAAATGAAGGAAAAATAAGACAATACTTGATGATTCACTCGGGTAGCAACAGTACAAGTAATACTGAAGGGAATCTTTCATGTCAAAATGAAGGACACTGCTGAGTAACTTGAACGCAACGAAAGCCAAGACACAGGTAAAGGCTATAATCCTTTTCAAACACACTGCCATCAAATCTGACTCACAACAATCCCTGTTGGTTTTCTAAGGCCTTAAATCTTTCTCCCGGGGAGCAGCTGGTGGATTTGAATGCCCACCTTTTGGTTATCAAGTCAATATATTATATACTGTGCCTTGGGGCCCTTGAAGATTTTAAAAATAACACAGCTATACATTTTGTTTGTAATTATTTTCTTCCCCATGTTGGCTGAGAGGGAGCTCTGGGGAGTAAGGAGTTGCACTTCCAACCCAACAGCTTGAACCTACCAGCTGCTCTGAGGAAGGAAAATGGGCAATCGTCTCCTGTGCAGTGTCCAGCCTCTGAGACAACCCTCTGGAGGGTCAGCTATGAATCAGTTCTGACTAGACAGCACTTGACTGAAAAGAAAACTACATAAATTAATTATTACACATATTGATGCTATTAAAATATATAAAGATGTGATTTGTATGATAACACTACCACACTATTTTTATAGATGATAGTAAGAGAATACTATTGCAATATTTTTATAGGGGTAGTTTTACAGGATAGATTTGTGTGTGTGTAATATTGACACTAAACTGGCATAGATATAAATAATGTTGTTATAAGTGAAGATGTTAACTGTAGCTCCCAGGGAAAACATGAAGAAAATATCTCTATATAAATAAAACTACATAATAAAGGAAATGGCAGCAAAGTAAATTGATGCACTGAAAAATACCTACTTAAATTAAAAGAAAACAGTAATGAAGGAAGAAAGAGGGGAAAAGAGCATAAAACAAGTAGCAAAATAGCAGACATAAATTCTACCACATCAGTAACTACATTTAAACAGATTATTGTTGTTGTTATGGGCCGTCGAGTCACTTGGGCCTCATAGTGACCCTATGTATAATAACTCTGAACCTTGCTCTATCTTGAACCAGTCTCACTGATTCCAACACCCACCTTTACCCCAGTCACTGAATCAATCAATCTCATTGAGGATCCTCCTCTCTTGTGCTGTGCCTCCAACTTCGCAAGCATGACATCTCTCTCCAAGGACTAGTCCTGCCTTG